AACAAAGCGTTTGGGAGGCAGTGGGTATTTCCGCTCTTACAGACTGAGCGGCCCATCTCCAACGCGGCACCTGAACGGAGTCGGTCCGGGTCTCTGGTGCGGAATTGGGCAGTGCCGCGTCCTTTTGCGGCGCATTGCGGTGTGCTGCGGCACCTTTACCCGATATCTTTGGCCTCCTCTGGTTCGTCCAGTGTCGCCGCGGACCAGCCAGCCCCTGTCGGAGAAACCCTGTCAGTCCTGTCTCAGAACATGCATTGCCGGCCCAAGTAAGGCTGGGTAGCTGGCAGGCTACGCCACTATTCGTACAGAGTCATATAGCGGCAGGGGCATTGCACTTGAGCGATCCGATCTTTCGCACTGAGAAATTCGCGGCGGCGTGTCCCGTCTGCACACTGGCCATCCACATCAGGCAGCCCCCCCACGCTACCATTCTGTCACATCCACCACCTCCTCCATGGGATCCCAGGGGCTAGATGCGTTGCCGATGTGCCTCTAGAGTGGGAGGAAACGAGACACCCGTGGCATTGTCAGTGTATGCTCAGCACGCTCTATCAAGCTCCCCCTACCTCCTCTCAGCATACAGCATACACGGCACACAATGTTGGCTGCAGCACATCATCAAGAGATATCATATCCAATGCGCAATCGCCGAGCCTACCCCTTTTCTCCTTCGTGGAGCTTCGGGACGAACGAGTCTGACTGACTCTGCCCATCTCCTATTTTTTTTTCCTCCCCCTTCAGAATTTTTCTGCTCTAAGTGGACGGATCACACCCCAATCCCCAGCTAGCGGTGGGGATTGAGCTTATGCGCTTTTATTTTCTCCTTATGAAGCGGGATCTATCAGTGACCAATGCAGCAGCGGGAGTCGATCCTTGGCTCGGAGGCCCCCTTATCAACATCCTAAGTCGTCCCGTCTCTTTCCCCCGTCTATGCCAATATCATGCAAATCCATGATCATTCAGTCCTCTGCGCCCCCTGCTACCTCAACCTGGGTGGTTTTCCAGGCTTGAATCTCCATTCTGCCCGTTTTGTGCCCTCTCATTGCACCGACACTTCCGCAATTCCCTCTTGGTCCTTGGTCCCGACCTTCATCGGCCGCTGGGGTCCCCTCTCATGGCGCAGATCACCACTCCCTTCCATTCATCAGCCACCTCCCGTCAAGAGCTGCCCCTGTTGTGCAAGGTATCTAGACGGTCCTCTACTTTACCACGTCAGGGAGGGAAGATGGGAGCTTCTTGGTGCCACGCAGCTGCGCAGGTACAATGCAGAGTCACTGCGATAGTGGTGGCCAATTACCAACTAACCAACTCGACTATCTGCATATGTTTGGTATGGTCTTCGCTGTCCCTGCCTTTGACTTGGCCCTGTTCATCGGCCCTGGTACTACCCACATCTGACTACCTACACGCAACCCACTTGCGCCGCGAAGCTACCATTGTTGGGACTTCGGCTGCAACGAGAACTTGTGATTAGTCGAGCCCCAGCGAGCCAAGCGGACCACCATCACCGCCACTGAAGGGTGTTGCTGTCCGATTCTGGGCGTTTCATCCTTACTCCCCACGTCCAATTTCTTTCTTCTGCCTTACGGCATACAGCCTCGGGCTATGGATACTGCTTCGGAGGATTGCCATGGCCCATGGGTGGTGAGCGAGCTCTTTTCCCTGTCTCTGTGGCCCGCTTGCTCTCTCTGGTTCTCAGCACCGAGGAGACCTCCCTTGTTGCTGCCGCCCACTTTCTTGTCCACCGGCAAGGATTTTGTGCAAACAGCACACTCCTATCTATTATATATACTCAGTCCAGCCTCTGGCCTCCGATCATCAGAATGCCTTTCGTTGCCTTCTCGCCTTCAATTCCACACTCCCTGACCTGGCCTACAGCGCCGCTTACATTCCTTTCTTGGTGATCACTTCACTTACATTCATTCACACGACGTATATCGTCCCAGTCATTCCTTCTTTTGGATATTTGCAGCTTGCCAGCATTATAAGCCAGTACGACGAGAACACCACACAATCGATAATCATCAATTTCTCCCTCGATATCGTCCTCAAGTCTGAAACGTCACTTCATAACATCAGAGATGCTTAGCTCTACTCTTCTTCTGGCACTTGTGCCCTTTGCCAAGGCTCTCGCCCCCCCGGCCCTGGACGGCATGAACAACATCTGGTCAGAGACCTTCCAAGGAAACGCTGGCGCGCCTCCCCGAAGCGACACTTGGGGCATCACTCTAGCCATTGACACCAACAACGAGGTACAGACTTACACCGACTCATCTTGGAACCTTCAAATTTCCGGCGGCGAGACGATCCAATTCATCCCCCGCAAATCTTCCAATGGCGTCTGGACCTCAGGCCGCATAGAGACCAAAGCCTCGTGGACCCCTCAACCCGGCAAACTGATGCGTGTCCAGTCCATGTTCAGAATGGGCGCCAACGCGAATAAGCAGGGAATCTGGCCGGCCTTCTGGATGCTGGGCGATGCCGTCCGTCACGGTACGCAGTGGCCTCTCTGCGGCGAGCTCGATATCTTTGAACAGGTCAATGGTCAGCTTTCTGCCACGGGCACCGTCCACTGCCAACAAGAGTCTGGCGGTATCTGCAACGAACCCAGCGGCCGTGGAGTTGCTACCTCGATCCCGGATAACGACTGGCACACGTGGAGTCTTCAGTGGGACCGTACTTCTAACAACTGGCTCACCGAGACTATTACCTGGATGCGCGATGGCGTTGTTTTCAACACGCTGACCGGTGCTGATATTGGGAACGAGTCGATCTGGGCCACGCTCGCCCATGCCCCTTACTACGTGCTCATGAACGTCGCTGTTGGTAAGTCTGAATCATTTTCGGCCATATTTGAGCCGCCCAACTAACATAGCATAGGTGGTACACTTCCGGGTAATCCTACCGACGCTACTCAGGATGGCTATGGTAGCATGATGGAGGTTGGATATCTCGCCGTTTACGAGACGGCATGAGCTTCCCTCAATGAAATTCGCCCCCGCGTGTCCTCACGTCAAGGACTTGCCGCATGCTGGACTTCTCTCGACCGCTTTCAATCACGCTTGCTTGTGTACACTGGATGAGCGTTGCGGGCTCTCTGCGATCCGACCAAATCTTGACGAGAGCCTCGAGATAACAACGCCATACCAGTGACGCTTGCCCGCAGCTTCACTCAAGTACGCGCGATGGCGCTTCTGTTCATAGTAGATACCCCCCATTCAACAGCGATTTTTCTTGCAGTGGCCAACCTTAGTCCACCCTTCCCTCCCGTAGATTGAAAGAGCCCAGTGTTTTAGTATGTGACTGACACAAGACTGTTATTTCAAGGGCGAAACACCGGTGGTCTAGATGCTATCGCAGAGTGATGGCAGATATGTGACCAGAATGATAAAATCAAATGGCATTCTCTTCAGAATGCGCCGAGTACCCAACTTGTGGAAAGTAAACTATGATGCGACTTGATTCTAACTCTGCTTTGGCTCAAGGAACACGGGATCGATACGCCCGACGCGCGAAGTTCCCTTTCTGTCGTTGCTGCCTCAAGCACATATGGATGGAATCTGCTCTTGGTCATAGACTATGTGAGCTAGTATATAGTAATGACCAGGAGGCGGGGACTGGTAGTTGGGAGTCTATTGTGGCATCGCTATCAAAGACGGTAGTAGAAGTAATGATGATGGTAATAATAGCGGCGGCGGCGGCGACGACGACGACGACGACGACGACGACGACAGCAGTAACAACGACAGTGAGGTGGATTATGTCACCATAGGAAAAGCAGCAGGAAAAAATGCTGTCCCTTCCAAAATACATCAACACCGGGCACTGTCAATTGAGCACCCGAAGCGGTCCGCGAACAGGATTCCCCCTCATCGACGACCAGTCCATGGTGGTCAATGGCTTGAAATACACTCAAAATGACACACCTACCTTGAACATACAACTCGCATGGTGCCTCGCGTACACCCGTGTTCTCCGGATTGCTTGACAAGCATTATTCACCGTTGACAAGATGCCTCTGCTGAGCCTGATAGCAGTATTCGAACAACTGAAAAAATATGGATTGAACCTCGTAAGCCAATACCATTCCACACGCCACAGTAATCTGACAAGACCTAGGATAAACGACGACGGCTGGACACGGTATGATGTTGTCCTGAACCTTCTAATAAATACAATGCTCTTCTCATACTCAACCCCGGACAGCAACTCTGCCCCCTTTCGACTTCCTCTCCTCTTTTGCACAAGTTGAAACTCATGGTCCAGCGAACTTTCCCACTCCAAGTAAAACCCGGGCTCCGCAATCTCAATTCGTATGCCGCATGTAATCAATGATTTCGCCCAACTGTTCGAGGTAGGAAGTAGGCACCTGAAAAAAACTAGCGAAACCGGCCCGTAGAACTCCAGAACCAATGATCCAAGGACAGCCAAGGAGAAGCTCGTGTGGTGACAGCTAGCTCGAAGGCCCCTGTTGAGGTTGAATGCGTGCCACACCAGGCAGATGCACGCGTGAATTAAGACCGCCTTTGTTTTGAAGGGCGTTAGAGGACGGTGAATGTGTCCATCCACCACACTTCCACCAGATAACAAACACCAGAACCATTTCTGCCTATGTTGTCGACAGGTGGTAGGTGGAGGAACAGTAGCAAATAAGGAAAACTGTCAGGCTGAGTGACGACGATGTAAATGGTCTAGAGACCACATGTGTTGGGAATGGTTTTTTTTTCTTTTTGGGTTGGGCAGGGGGTCCATAGACTGCCCTTGGGGATGAATCAACTGGCGTATATGCCACTCAATGTTCACATAGCCAGGGGGCTTGATTGCTGGTATTCCGACCGAAATGTTGCCCAGCTGGAACAAACAAAACGGTCGAAGTCGTAGCTGGATCCAAGGAATGAATGGCGGATATTGCGAGGCGCGAAGCGACAGCCTGCACCGTCACCGTATCGTCGAACTACCCTTGGCTACAAACGCGCGCAATGACAGTTTCAATTGGACACCTAGTCTGCGCCGATCTCGTTGGCACCCTCCATGCCGAAAGAGCCGGTATTGAAGTCAAAGGCTTGATTGTCACCATCTTCGTGCAAGAACGAGTCGAAATCGAAGTCGTTTAGGACGTTATCGGAGACGAGAGGGTCCGCAAATGCCATGGCTCCGAAATCGACCATGCCATTCGTGCTGTCCATGCCAAACGATCCGTTCTGGTTGGCATCCGAGTGAGCTTGAGGAGCGACCTGGGGCGCAGGTGCGGCTGCGGGAGCTGGAGGCTGTCCATTGGGAACGGCAGAGACCGGCGCGTTCTGGCCAGCTTTGAAGCTTGCGGGGTTGACAGGAGTGATGGGCGTCGCCGGGGTTGGCGGCTCCTGGTCTTGAGTGCCATCAGCCGCCGGCGTGGCTCCGCTGTTGAGATTGGGGTTTGACTTCTTTTGTGTGGCAGCCTGTGAATTTGTTAGATGGTTCTCATAGGCTTTTGTTGTGCTTACCTTGGCCTTTGCGTTCTTGTTATCCTTCTTCTTGGGCGCTGCCTTATTGGCTTGCGAAGGAGTGGGTGGCGCTGCAGTTGCTTGCTGAGGGGACGAGGTGTTTGTACGGTTTGCGTTCGCGGCGGCAGGCGCAGACGGTGGTGGCATTGATCGCTGCTGAGGGGTGCCCTGGACTTGACCCTGAGGGCCCTGAGGTACCATCTGGTTGCCGTTCGGACCTCCTTGCCATTGCACAGGTTGATTGCCTTGACCACCTTGTTGAGGCTGCTGTTGCTGTTGTTGCGGAGGCTGGCCTTGCTGCTGCTGCTGCTGAGCCGCTTGTTGCTGTTGTTGCTGCTGTCTCGCAGCCATCATCTGTTGAGGGTTCATCTGGCCGTTGAAGGTCTGGCCTGGATGCGAGCTAGGCGGGCGCATGCCATTGATCTGAGGGTTTGGCACCATGTTCCCGTCCATATTCGCCATGCCCTTGAAGAAGTGGGGTGCCATGTTGGGATCCATCTGGTTGCCCATGAAGTTCATGGGATTGGGGGAGCCCCGAGACTGGGCGCCCTCCGGCAAGGGTGAAGGTATGCCCGCGTTGTTCATCTGGGGCGTACCACGCTTCATCTGCTCTGTCGGGTTGGGCGAGGCTCCTGTCCTAGCACCTTGAGGGGAAGTCTCAGGGAATGGCTGGCCGTTGGGGCCTGGAGGAGCACCGGGACCGCCAGGACCGGCAGGGCCGTCTCCTCTTGGCATAGCACCGCCCATGCTGTCCTGTTCCTGTCGAGCCATCATAAGTCTCTTTTTGTTCTGCTGCTCCAGAAGCATTAGCTGCATTTGATAATCTTGCAGAGCGTGGTTACTTCCACCGCCGGCCTGGGCACCGCCAGGGCCAGGTCGAATGCCGGCAGGCATCTCGCCGGCGTTATAGTATGCGGCCAGCCCAGCTTGATCAGGGCCCTGTGCCATCATAGGGGATCCTTGACCCTGAGGACCGGCCGCGTTAGGCATAGGCTTGTTCGGCATCTGGCTGGCCTGGTGTTGCTGCAGATTCGCAGCGTATGTGGCAATGGACTTCGCTTGTACAGCAGGTGGTTGATTTGAGAATGTCGTGAACTGCTGCTGGGTCAGCTGTGCCGGGTTAATGCCGTTGGTGATGAGCATTTGCTGGGCTTGAGCTACGTTTGGGGCGGTCCCCACCTGCTGGCCTGGCATGCCCTGCTGTGGTCTCCCATTCGGCATCATCCCAGGCTGACTCGGGTTGTAAGGCGTTCCGTCCAGGCGAGGTCGCTTTGAGGGTGAAGGAGCATTTTCGCCAGAACCAGGCGAGGAGGGGCGCTGTCGGTTTCCCTCCATGTCAGACGGGTCGCGTTGCATTTGAGTCTGCTTATGCTGAAGCATTTGCATGGCTTGGGGGCTATTACGGCAACCTGTCAGCGACATCTTCGGAGTTGAATCACGGGCCGTTGCAAACTGAATACTCACTTGTTCTGATTGTTTGCCATAGCTGTGCGCGCGAGGTTTCCCTGCTTCATGTTCATGGCCATGCCACCATTCTGCATGTTGCGCATCATCTGGTTGTGATATTGCTGCTGAGCGGCCAGGCCCTCGGGGCGCATCTGACGGAGAAGCTCCTGCTGCTGGTTTTGGCGCATGCGGGATTGTTGCTGCAAACCAAGTTAGCATAAGCCAGGAAATAGATGGCATGGAAACTGGAGGTCGCATGAGCTCGAAAACACGTACCTGGGTGTGGCTGACGTATTGATTTACAGGGCCGTTGCCGCCCTTGGTACGTTGCGCGTTGAAAATATCCCAGAACAGGCAGAACCACTCGTACAAGAATGAGGATTCGGAAGCAGGCATGGGCAGTTTGGGAGCGGGAAGATCATCAGGGAGCTTCGCGTCAATGTCATCCTTTGAGTCGGTATCCATAGGATCGTCACCCAAGCCATTCCCAAGCAGATTGCCATTTTCATCCCTCCGTCGGTTTGCACCATCCTTAGTGACGTTTATTTGATGGTCTCCGTTGACGAGCGATCGCGCACAGTCAAACATTTGATGGCGGAGAAAGTATTCGTAAATGTAAGTGTTGAGCAATGTTCTTTGGCTCTCGGTGGGAACGGGCATTTGTCGGGGGCCAGCGACCTGAGGTGCGACTGCGCCATTATTCATCATGGGTACGGGAGCACCGACAGGGCCGCCCATGGCGTTCATGTTGGCCATGTTGGGGTTAACGTTGACGTTCATGGTGACGAGGGTGGGCCGGGCTGCAGACAGTTGTCTGCCCGGCTGGAAGAGAAGAAGTCGATGCGGTAGATGATGAAAGGAAAGGTTGGTTGAAGGACGGGGGTGGTGGTCGGTGGACAGAGAAATCGCGGTCGTCGAAAAACTTTCGGTCAGCCACCTCAGAGGCGCTGGATGCGTGGCACGCGGTGCGCTAAAAGCCGACCGGCAGGAACGTGTCGGGTTCAGCGGTAGGCCACTTGGGGGGGGCCTCTAATGGAGAGAGTGAACGGATTGAATGGTCGCGACGCAGGGCGAGGGCTCGCGATCGGAGATACAAAAGGAAGTGAAGAGAAGAGCAGAGCAGTCGGAAAGGAGAAGAGGCGCGGTCGTTGCTGGCTCCGTCGATGGCGATGCGGTATGGCGATAGGAAGTCGAGGATTTGTGTAGAAGAGTGAGCGAGAGGGCGAGAGCGAGAGATGTCAGTTGCAGGAGAAGAGCAAGTGTGGATTGAGTGGGATTAGGTTGAGGGATGCAAGTAAAGGGAAGTGGAAAGACAGGAGAACGGATGTCGGAAGAGAAGCTCTGTCGGGGGCTTTCTTTGGGGTGCTGAGTGTCTTCTCTGGGTCTTGGGATTTGGCTCTTGGTTTGGGCCCCGGGGGGTTGTTCTGGCGTCGTCGATCCTGCCAGACCAGCTTGCTGCTCTACAAGCAGTCGCAGTCGTCCCTCTCCTGCAGCGCTGCGCTAGACCGATAAGGCGAGATCAAAACTGCGAAATTGACAAATGGTTCGGGGCAAAGGGCGAAACCATCAACTGAGCAAGTGACGCGTGTTTAAAGCCAAGTTGCAAGTGTTCGGCATGCGAGGCCACCAGGGGGGGATTCAGTTGATGAAGGAAGGGGAGAGGACAGGAGGGTAGAGGAAGGTGGAAGAGAGGGGCGCGAGATGGACAAGGCAAGGCAATGGAAGGGGAGAGACGCAGGACGAGCGACGGGTGGAAAGGATGGGGTTGGGATTTTCCTAATTTTCGCCCAGGACGCTTGGGCAGATTTGGGGGGAGTCTGGAGACCTGGAACTGGGAGCTGGGTGGTCGTCAGAGCAGTTCGGGGGCGGGAGGACGCGGGTACACCTGAGAATGAGGCGCGAACTTCTGAGCACGTTCTGGCCTGAGGCACAAAGCACGTTGTGTCATAGGCAAAAAAAAGGCTTCAAAGACCTCAAAGAAGGGGGGACATTTAGAGATATATCAAGATACACGGTGTATTTACCTAGTCGATAAGCCCGCCGACTGCACTGCAGCTGTAACTGTCTAATACCTACTTTACCCATCGTCTTACACAGACGGTATTCGTTCTTAAAGGCATTGGATGTACGGATAGGTAACGTCCCAGATGTCGACACTGACGGAAGCTTATGACAGGGTACCTCGCTAAAGCACGCAGGCTCCTCATCGACCCACGTACTGACTGTTTGACGTCGCATCGCGGTTGAAGCTCCAGCCGCTTCATTATCCGTCTCAGTGAAGCGAGACGCGACGACGCGCCAGGCTGCTGGGAATAAACCCGCAGTGCAGGGTTTCACCCGACCCAAGATGACCTCCCACTGAATTGCGAGAAACTAAAGATCAGCTATATCACCTTACATATCTTGGGCTCCATGCCGTCGCATTGCAGCCACTCCCATACACGCCAACCGGTCTCGAGAAAAACCTACGTACCCTGCATCGTCCGCGACTCTTCAGGGCCATAAGACACCTATTTGTGAGGACATTTCAATACCGGAAAAATCGTGTGCACGCTGCGATGGCCCAACCACAGGGCGCACTTGAAAACTCATGAAAAGACTTTACCCCAGCGCACAATTGTCGTTCTCAACCTATGATTCCCTTGATGCCTTGGATGCTTTTTACTTGAAATTGTCGTTGCGCAAAGCACGGGCCTCCACTTTATTGCATTAGCCAGCTCCGAGCCAACGCGACACTGTGACTGGTCGGAGCCTCGAGATGTCGCCAACTATGCGAAATGACTTCCTCGGAGCAGGCGAGGCAGACCGATCCTCTTCGCTCAATGTCGCCATCCCGCCCGTGACTTTCTCGTCGCCTTGTCGCATCGTCCCGATCATCCATCTCCTTCAAAGTTTCCCTCAGGCTGTCTAGACCCAACTACGGCGGCATCCCGAACCTCTGGGCACCTCTCCCCACTTCGGCCGACACCGGCCGATACACTTATCGAAGTCCGTCGCCTAACTCCGCAATATGCCCTCCCTGGAATTGATTCAGTAGCAATGCACCCGCTAGTTTAGCTGCCGTCGGTCTGTCCATTTGCCTGATTAGTGTGTCGTGTCAACGCCAAGTCGTAGCAATGGGATTGTTGAAAGCAGTAGCTGGACGTTGCTCCATGTCGTCAAAATTAACTCCCGTTGTATTCCGCCAACGTGGATACAGGCCCAGGGCCACCGCAAACCCGGCGTTGGTACGGATACAAAGTGCGGCCTTGAAGTGAGCGCCAAGATTGTTTCCATTCTCACAATTATCACTCCCTGCCTGCAGTCACATGTCTCCCGCATCGCTCTTCAGATATGTTCCCGGTAAATGCACACTTTGTGTCGTTGAGAGCCGAGCCACTGTCTCTTCCTAGTGCTGCGAGAGCACCATTGCATTTGCTACATTTATCTCAAAAGCCTGAGATGCTAGGGTGCCTGTCTCAATAGAGCCGACAGAGTTGTCATTGGAAATTCCACCGTATGCACAGTCGGATTACGTTGATACTGAGGTTGATCATCTCGACTGCTCCTCTGAGGCTCTTCCTCGTCCCAGACAGGTAATTCAGCTGAGAGATACCGCGAGACCACGACTGCGAAGGCCATGACCCAGTGATCGCAGCCGGAGTTGCGGACAGTTGGTGTTGTCATGTGAAAGGTTTGCACCGCTCAGTCGTCTTCTGGTGGCAATTCGTCGTCAATGTATCGTATCAACGATACCCTCATCTCTGTTGTGTCATGGCCTCTCAGGACATCGCTGATAAAGTGTGCCTCCACCTGCATCTGCACCATCTCCAAAGCTCCGCGCAACACACCGCAGAAGATGTTGGAGTACCACAGCTCGTCCTGCGCGCGCCCATCATCGGGCAGCTCCACAAAGTCTGCCAATGGGTTCTCGTCAAATACCAACGAGAACTGTTTGTTATCTGTCGTCCAGTTGGTGACTTGGGGCGTAACGTTCAAGAAAATCTTGAAGCCAACCTAGCGTTCATCAGTGATTAACATTTAGACAGTCTTCTTCTTGATGGGAATGAACATACTCGTGCAATCATATCTGCCGTTTCGCGAAAATTCGAGCACCGCTTCATTGTATTTGACTTGGCCAAGTAGTCTTCAATCAGACGGAGGCCGATGTTGTATCCCATCTTATCCAGCTGCTTGTTGACCTCCACATAGTCGCTGTCATAGTCCTTGCATAGCTGGGCGACGATTGTTCCATATGTCAAAGTCACCAGCTCAGCGTTCACCTTGTCGATGCGTGTTCTGTAAGAAAAGGGTCAATTCTGGTTCGAATGGCGTCGTCGTGACTTCACGTACTTCCAGATCCTGGTGAGAAAGCGTGTTAGCCTCTGTCAACCGCATACGTAGCCGAATACTCACTCTTCACCTAGGCGAGTTGCCTTGCTTGCTGCCATGCTGCGCAGTCAGTGTGCGACGGCTCAAGGTTGCTTAGCGATGCGAGCCTCGTGAGGGCGGCAGACAATCAAGGAAGTCGGCAATGATCTGGCCGTTTCAACGCCTCTCTGTCTGATTGGGGGCTGGGTTCTACCCGGTCTAGTATCCTCGTCACCGGATCGCCTTGTCGTAGAGTTCGCGTGGTCGTGAGGCGCAAGTGTTGGGGCGCCCTGACGTTGCTGTCAATGGTATCGGGGTGGTTGATGTTCACAGTGTGGGTGGTAGATGGTCTACGTCTGGCGTCTGTGGATATTTTAGATGGATACACCAGGGTCAAATGAGGAAAGCGCCAATCAGAAGCTTGGAGAGTTGATTAGGTACCTTAGCGCGTACCTACAACAGCCATCCACCTACCTTAAGCCTTGAGGTGCACTGTACCCGTAGACTTGCGCAGGTCAGGTCGGGTCCATCGGATTGGACGGGAGCTCCACTGAACTGAGCCCGGCACACCCACACTCCAGCAGGACTTACGTAGATAGGTAGCTCGGTGATCGGCAGAAGCAAGCTCCGTTCCGCGTCGCGTCCAGATATCAGGTCCGTCTGCACTTAGGTAGGTTGTTGCACGGGCCAATGATCACAGTTGTTGCGTATTTTGTCTTTTCCTGCTCATTCAACTGAACAACTATCGCAACACTCAACGCGCGCATTAGCCCACGCGAAATCGACCTGAAAATAACGGCACCTCCTTTAGATCGAAGAGATATCACACATCCTCAACATGTCCGAAAAAAGACCGGCATCTGACGAGCCAGGCTCGGGCCAGATGATCGTGAAGCGTCAAAACGTGGGATCATCCACGGGAGCACTGGCGAGGCTCAATGGTTCCGGGAAGAGCAACGCCTTGGTGCAGACCGTAAGATATGCGACTCGTGTACCGTTCGATCATGGCTAACGTTGTCGTAACAGGCGCCACGAACGAGCAATCTACAAGCCCCTGTCATGGAGCTCACTGGGCACTCTGGGGAGATTTTTTCAGCCAAGTTCGATCCTACAGGCAACTTTATCGCCTCAGGATCTATGGATAGAAGCATTCGTGAGTTCATCTTGCCGCAAGGAAAGCCAAGTTTTGGTGCTGACTGATAAGTCCTGTGGCGCACATATGGCGATTGTGAAAATTACGGAATCCTCAACGGCCACCGCGGCGCCATCCTGGACCTTCAATGGTCGCGGGATTCGAAGATTGTCTACTCAGCATCGGCGGATACGCATCTGGCCAGCTGGGACCTGGAGAACGGCTCCAGAATACGAAGATACGTTGGTCACGAAGAGATTGTCAATGCTATGGACATCAGCAAGAGAGGCGAAGAACTCTTGGTCAGCGGCAGTGATGACGGGTCCATAGGCTTATGGGACCCGAGGACAAAGACTGCGGTTGATCACATTCAGACTGAGTTTCCGATCACAGCTATTGCCATGTCAGAAGCCGGCAATGAAGTCTATTCAGGAGGCATTGATAACGACATCAAGGTCTGGGATTTGCGCAAGAAGTCGGTGATCTACTCCATGCTTGGGCACCAGGATACGGTAACCTCTCTGAGGGTTTCGCCAGACTCTCAATCACTCCTCTCGTTTGCTATGGACTCGACTGTAAGGACGTGGGACATTCGGCCCTTCGCACCAACCGAGAGACACATCAGGACGTTTGACGGTGCGTCTGTGGGTCTCGAAAAGAACCTCATCCGTGCCAGCTGGGATTCAGAGGGCAAGAAAGTGGCCGTTGGTTCTGGAGATGGAACTGCGACGATATGGTCTAGCGAGACTGGCAAATTGATGTACAAGCTGCCAGGTCACAAGGGAACAGTCAATTGTGTTGAGTTCGCGCCTGGCACAGAGCCAATCAGTATGCGTTCCAGCCTTCTTTTTTTCTGGCGTTACGAGACGAATGCTGACTTCCTTTCCTAGTACTGTCCGCATCATCTGATCGGAACATGCTTCTCGGAGAACTGCGGTGAACAAGACGCCGAACGTTAAGCAAACATTACAACATGCCAAGGTAGATGCAGCGCAGAGATGAATTCATTGTGGAAGCGCCAAATTTGAAGGAATTATATGTCCACATGCCTTGCATCTCGGAGTATGTAGTTGTAATAGTGACAACAAATTCGGAGGTGGCGGGACAAGATGGGTGGGCTTTTCTGCGATGAGTGATAACCTGATCATTCGTTGTAACACGGATTCGGACATGATACGGCGGAGATGAGCCGCAGGTCGACGTGGAGGTTAGCGGGCGGCAACTAGACCGATCCATGGTTGTACACCACAGGTCGTCTCAGGGAGAGATTACTTTGATACCCTTGGAAGAGCCGATTTCGGCAATTTAAACTCGCTATTGCCGGAGCTGTCATACGAAGTCGTGAAAAAGCAAATTTCTCGGCCAGTGTCACGGCCTCGAGAATCGTCCGCTGTATCCGTCCAGGTATTCTTGCAGGAACAACCCTGAGACATTGCAAGGTTCATTGCGTGCGTCAGTTACTTCAGCTTGCACAAGCGAGGCCCGCCGACTAACCTTTAGCATCTGACGACTGCTGCCGCGGTACGAAACCCAGATTCTGGGGTTCCCGAATTTCTGAAGTACTTGCCAACGAAACGGGAGAGCAGAGACTCACTGACCGTTTTATCGTATGTGTACGTCGTTTACTGTCATTCGTTAACCCATTGTCTGCGGGCCCACGACTTTACCGAGTTCCTGCTCTAAGGGTACGCTAAGGTGTCAACCACTCAACTTACAGGTTGCCCTTTCCGGTCTTGGTGTTCGGAGAGGCAAATCTTAAAAAACTCTATTCAGCAATGGTTTTTGGACGCTGTCGGAAGTCACGAACTGGACAAAAGACGACCCGGGCTATTTATGGACAGGAACAGGGCGTGACGACGACAGTTGTGTAGGGTGAGAGAAAAGTAGTTCAGACGCAGCTTTGGGCGATGAGACAAATGGCAGCGCACTTGCTGACTATCAACGAATCTGAGGTGTTCGTACACAGACCCCGAAGTCTACCTGATGACGGAACACGACGCTTTCGCAATCGCCTGTCTTATGTAAGCGTACGTTGGCCGCCTCGAGGATCAGTATGCAACCGGGCTTCGTCAATGGGCATGCTTGATTCCCTGAAAACATATCGTACCTTCTGTATCTTTGCTAGATGCGCAGCAGAGAGGGTGGCAGGAGACAAGTTGGGTCAGGTCCGAATTCTTTGGCGTCGAGTGAAGCGCGCGTGTCTGCTAATTTGGATGTTGTCAAGGTGACTCTGTCTTGAACGGTACCTAGGTAAGGTGGTCAGGTATTCATGGTTGACCTTTTTCAGGCCCTGGACGCCAACGCCAACGCCAACGCCAAACTGCCACAACGCTTCCACCACCCCCAGGCGCCCGGGTTCGTCGATATTGGGCCGTACGTTCCTGGCCCCATACAGAAACTACTTAAGTAGTCCTCCCATGCTATCAAACCCCTAATCCAACATAGCCCTGATAACCTGGATCTGCTCCAGCACGCTTGATCGACTGGTGCCGCCTTTAGCCGTTTTCGCCTCGACACTCGTCTCATATTCGAATGCCTCCGCAATTTCTGCTGTGAACCGAGAGTCAATGGCTTGCAGTTGCTCAAGGGTTAACTTATCCATCGCAACTTCCAGCTTTTCAGACTCTGCAACAACGCGTCCAGAGATGTGGTGAGCCTCTCTGAACGGACATCCCTTCCTCACCAGCCACTCTGCAACATCAGTGGCTAGCATCGTTTTGTCCAGAGCAGCCTCCATCCGGTCTGGCCGCACCTTTAGGGTAGAAATAACCCCGTTGGCTATGCCAAGACTATCTGACACAGTCTGAACCGAATCCAGCATAGGCCCCCACCCTTCCTGAAGATCTTTATTGTAGCAAGATGGCAAGCCTTTCACACTCTTTTAAATGAACAGTCAGTAGCTACTCCCGATGCGCGTCTCAAAAGCCAGGGCAACTGGCTGAGATGTCAAAATGAGGACTCACCATCATTAACCCAGCCATTTGACCGAAAGCACGCCCTGACTTGCCGCGCAGAAGCTCTAACGAGTCCGCGTTGAATTTGTTGGGCATCAAAGAGCTACCCGTAGAATAGGCGTCGGCCAGCCGCACGAAACCGAACTCAGATGTCGAATATATGATGAGGTCCTCAGCCCACCTGCTAATGTGGTTGGTGAAGATCGAGTTCCAGACCAGGAAGTCGATTAGGAAATCGCGATCGGCCGAAGTGTTCATGGAGTTCAAGGTTATTCCGCTAAAACCAAGCTCCTCAGCGATTTTGTTTCGATCAATTCGAAATGGGTTGCCGGCCAAAGCACCACAACCAAGGGGACTAAGATTGACCCTTTCGAAAACTTGGCGCAACCGCTCGAGATCCTGCTTAAACGCAGCGGCGTATGACATCATCCATTGAGAGAATCGAACTGGCTGAGCACGCTGGAGATGGGTGTATCCAGGCATGATGTAGTCGCTGAGGTTGTCAGTCAGCAGGGAGCCGCTTTTGGCCAGAGATGGGGCTAGGCTTACATTTCAGACTCGGCACGTGTGATAATGACCTTGAGGAATGCAACGAGTTGGCTGTCGATTTCGCGGATCCGATCGCGTAACCACATGCGCATATCACAGACAACTTGCTCGTTGCGGCTGCGACCTGTGTGCAGCTTACCCGCGATGTCCTTGCCGATGACCTCTCCTAAGCGACGTTCGTTTGCCGTGTGAATCTGGTTCTTTGTGTTAGCCTCGAGAAGTTGAGTAGAATTGAGCGTCCTCTTACATCTTCGTCATTCGGCATGATAGCGAAAGTTCCCTGCTTCCATTCTTCCATCACTTGAAGCAAACCACGCTCAATCGCCTGAAATTCGTCGTCGCTGATGATGCCGGCCTTTGAGTTGGCTCTGGCAAAAGCAATCGACCCAAGGATATCTTCTTTGTAAAGAGCCTTGTCGTAATGGATGGAGGCATTGTACTTATGCATGAGAGGATCAATCGCACCTGCGGCACCGTGAGGTCAGTATACAGCATCCGAAGCTTGTTTCCCGAAACATTCGAACCTGTGAACCTGCCCCCCCAGAGCATGCCAGCTGCCGCAGCTTCCGCCTTTTTCTCGGCCATGTTGGAAATGATCGTGAGTGGCGTTCGTTGCGTTCGTTGCGTTTTCAAGGCCGATGAAATCAATGGGTTGGAAGGGCGGGGGTTACTGAGGTTGAAAAATCTAGTGGGGGTAAAGTACGTAGGTCGATCAGTCGAAAAAGTTTGTGGGCAAAATGGCGGGGGATCAGGTAGAAGCGCAGGGCGCGGCTTTTCTAACCAATCAGAGCCCTGTAATCGTAGTCGCTCCCTTCCTATTACTGCCCTCTACCTTACACTTGCCCTCTACGCTGCACTTGCCCTCTACGCCTGCCTGCTCGCGCCTGCCTATAAGTACTCGCGTCTGCTTTTTACTCGCGCCTGCTTTTTCGCGCTTGCCTGTTGCGCCTAACTTGTACGCCTTGCGCTTGCCTGTATAACTGAGGTAAGCGCCGTAAGAAGGGGCCCGCGAGCGAATTAAAGGCCTTTGGTTGGCTAATCTCTGTCCCCAGGCCAGTACCCTGCGAAAATATGAATGGAAGTTACCCTGCGCTTTTACCTAAACCCGGGACCGATTGTCGGGTGTGACTATTGGGTTAGGTGGTGGACGGTGGCAGACCAGAAACGGCTTAGCGCCTCGCACCCGTGCAATCCGAAACATCTGGTGTTCTCCATCTCCAATAAGACCCCTGTGGTGGTTACCCCTGGGCGATTATGCAACACTCGAGCTGTCACAGAAGTCGACAAGTGACGGCGAATCCATCTCTTCTTCTGTGCAGGAGCTGTGCAGGAGCCCAGTGGGAGCCCGGGACACTGCGAGAGGCACGGATGAAATTGAGCCTCGCCAGCGCAAGGGTCCAATTGCGCTGCAACATGTTCCCGTCCTCCACGCCGCAGAAGCTGCACGTTTCCTCCTGTTTTTCGTCCGTATTTGCACCTCCTCGTCACCCAGGGTCGCTTCTTCCTCTTTTTTCTGCCCTTCCACGTCGCAGAATCCCAGGTGCCCTGCCATGAGACTGGTCACAGCTGTCTGTGTGCCCCGAGTCTGCGCCGCAGTTTCTTTTTCTGGTCTGTCCAGTAACACTCGCGATCTTGGCCGACCTTCTCCTCCGTTCCAATAGTCGACAAGACCCTACCAATACTTGCCGGCTTGTGCCTTGCCTCGAACTCCCCTAGCGAACCGAACTGTTGGCTGTCCGTCCGGCTGGCGTACCTACATACCTCCACTTACACAAAGTCAGGCAGCTGCGGACGCACCGAGAAATAACGCCTGACTGGCAGTCCCTTGTTCACCTCACCTTATTCCTCGTCTCAATCTCCCTTTCTTTTCCAGCTCTTCCGTCTTCTCTTCATCAATTGCCTCACTCAGCGTCATGTTGGCGGCGCCAGGCGCCCATCAGGCTTCCTTTTCATCCTTTTCTTTTCATTGACCATTTGTTTACGTTCTCTCATCTACCTCCCAATCCATCTTTTATTTCAACTGGCCATCACTGTGCAGGCTCTGGAAGCTAAACTGCGCCGCCAGCGTTGTCCTCCTGGACACTTTCTCTGCTTCCCATCTTTCTCGGTTGCGAATGTCCCTCCCTTCAGCCGTCGAATTCCTTGATCGAGGCCGTTGAGTCGCCGGCAGTCCTCCCTTGGAACTTCCGACACAACAGCACCCTCTCAATCCGTTGTTTCCTTCACAACTTTCTTCTCCTAACTATTGGGCATTGTTTAAGCCGGCCGTGACCGCACCTACAAAGATTCTTCAACGAGACGGCCATCAATATCGTACCTCTGAGAGACGCTGACTCGCAATTTGCTCCGTCTACAATAAAGGATCCCCCTCGTCGCAGTATTATCTGTGGCAGCGTCGACAGCCTCCACACGAGAAGTGCGAAACACACAGCGCCGACTCGCGCTTCTCGCTATCCTCCCCGCCGAAGCATGACGAACCTTGAACGGCGATAACTGCGAAGTTAACTCTCAACGTTCAATCGGGAGGTGCATATCAGCTTCGACCCTCCAGTATGGACTTTCTGCGACGCGGACGGCCCTCGAATGGACCAGATATTGAGCAACAGGCCTTGGCTGGACCATCAACACAGCCTGAAATGCAGGAGGATTCGCGACCTCGACCGAGGCGACTCCCTGGAACACGGCCTGCTCTGTCCTCAAGAAGACATCCCGGCGGCAGAATGCAGCGCCTTGACGATGGCGAGGATGACAGTCCCAAGACTCCGCGCTTCAATATAGGCCTCCCAACACTCCCAAGCACTCGACTGAATCTTCCGCATCTTGCGAGGACATGGACGAGTGGTTCCAACGGCCCGAACTCGCGGCCTAGCTCAGGACAACCACTGCCAAGTCGAGCGGCGACCGATCCGCTTACCGGACCGTATGTGAGCAGGGCGGGAGCTACGCAGATTCCTGTAGCGATGCCATCTCCCGTTGCCCAGCATGCTCGATCACATTCCCACAGACTGACAAGAAGGTTTACTGGGCCAGATCCTGCAGAATTGCATCTGGCACAGATGGCACAGGAGGGAAGGCGGCGCAGACGACGGAGGCAGCGAAACCAAGAAGACAACAACGAGGGACACCCGAAAAGGTTCCTGCTTTGCCTGCCATGGGTGAAGTCGCGACGCATGCGATCGCAAATCCTTCGGTGCTTTATTTCAGGCACATTTCTCGCCCTGTTATTGGCCGTTTGTGAGTGATGCCTAGTGCTGCTGTCGGGAAAGCCTAACTGACCCCGTAGACCTTGCCCTGTCTCTCACACAGAACATCCGCAGTAGCGAGTTCACGGTACTTCTCATACTCATCATTCTCTTTACAACGATTTTTTTCTGCCACGGCTTGATTCGCCTATGCATGCTCGTCATTCGACCGCGATCAGACGACGAGGCTAGGCCGCCAATGCCGCAGCTTGTTGCTCCAGGAGGGTACGCTGTCCCACGGGAACCGATCAGAGTGGTGTTGGCCCGTGACGAAGAGGAGGAGGGCGAAATAAGCGATGCAGCCAAAGCGAAGCCGCCAGCCTACGGGCTCTGGAGAGAGAGTGTGGTACGTGCCAGCAGCATGGATGCTTCTAATTATTTTCAACTAACAAGAGGATACAGCGGGTGGATCCCAATAGGATATACTGGCAACGCAATCCTAATGCGACATCAAATGGCAGCCCGTCGAACTCTAGGGAGGTTGGCAGCGGGCCACGACCACCATCGTATGCATCGGAAGACGGTGTCAGCTACGTTGTAGATGCTCGGCCCCGGTCAATGGCGCCAGGAATGACCGAAGTACTCCCACCACACCCCTCTGAGGTTGGGCGGATGAATGAACGACGAGGCCCATGGTGATCCCATTTACGTGGTCAGAAAAGACATAAGAAACCTTGCGTGTGATATTATTGTACAATGAGAGCGCGGCTAGCGGCGTCAAGGGAGTTTCGTTAGAGGCACGTCTCGGCAGTGCGTGAAAACGCCACTGAACGGGAGGACCTGAAGCATGCCATCATAAGTGTCTTGCGGTCATTATATGCTGCTCAGGGAGACAGAGCGAGTCGACTGGGACTGCACTAGTAGTACTTCCGCATGGCATTTCAAGAATAATCGAGCGAGGGGATGCAGCTCATTTCCAATACAAGCGGGTGTTTCACAAGCTGAAGGCGTCACGAGAGGGGCCATGAGGGAAGGTCACGCTTTGCATGGCTGGTTCCACAGCATTAGTTGGGCTGGCGGGTGTCCGGACCGTCGGAATGTGCACCATTGGCACAAAAGAGGCTCTCCCTGCTTTGCCGCGATAAAGCGTGTGATTACAACAGAGCTACGGTCGAAGAAAGGCATGAGGAGCTACACCAACGATTCGTAGGTAGTTCTACTGCTAGTAGGTGTTCGTTCTCCGCTGTACGGGTAAATACAGCTGTGTGTGTGTATGCAAAAATAAGCAAGACGGCCACCAGTCCACCCTAGGTAGATAGAGATCTATTAATTGCTAGCGTTGGATGTACAGGAATAGGCTGGCCTATTGGACACCCATTTTGCTCTCCAGCTGCCGCGTGCTTGGGAGCGGAGTGGAGCAGAAAATGATGAACATCCAATGGCGCGGGGAAAAGAGACGGGCAGGCAACCTGGGGGCCAGAAAAGAGAGACACCCGACGGTGCAGCGCCAGTCACACAGACATGCGTTTGGGTCAGGCACGCTGAGCCACGGCACGCCATGCTACATGGATAAATACTTTCAACGGCTCAGGTTTTGTGCTGCGAGATGCGGGAATGAGTATCTGTCTGCGCTCAGGAATTGCGGCTAAGCGATGTGAGGTTTGCTGAGCCGAACATACAGCGGGAGCGTATGTCAAGTACCAGGTATGGAAGGTGCCTTGAGTATATATTACGTAAGGTAGGGACTAATTTAGCTCGCTTAGAGGGGCGTAAGCGCGTGGGGTGTTTGGAGGACTTGGTGGGATGATGGATCGCGGCTGCAGTGTGTTGAAAGAAGAGTGACAGCTGAGCTGGTAGTGAATTGTGAATATGTAAGTAATGTACATAGTAAAGAGGTAAGGTATCCGTAAGGTAGGTTGAAGACCGAGGCCGGGCGTGAGCGGGAAGCGGAAAGCGGGAGAGTCGGGGGTACCGTTGCGATACTTGGCCCCGCCGCCCCTGGCGCCATGTTTCCCCGCCTTCCCACCTTTTGACGTCGTCAACGACCTAGTCGATCCGTTCCTCGAAGGTCGCTTCCATGTATCCAGGGCACGACAAGCACTCAAGGGCCCCGGTACTGCCATTGACAGTAGAGAAACTAGGAGGAGGGAACTGAGACAGACACGCAGGAGGGTCAAAGTTCCAACACGACACGGCCACACACATGACATGGGGGACATGAGGCCGAGCGGGTATTCGTAGGAAAAAGTGATGACATACCTCAGTAATGTGCTGCTGCAGGTGCAAGAGGTGCAGATGCAGGTGAGGTGCAGGTGCAGGCGCAGGCGCAGACCAGACGCAGGTGCATGCCTTGCCTTCGCAGAACTTGGAAGAAGGGCAGGAGAGGGGAGAGGAGGAGAGCAG